CCAAGTTGGGCATTTCAAGTGCAATTGGGTAGAGAACCATTCTGAATGAGTCATAGACCAATGTATTATGAAGATATGGTGTACCCTAGTTCCAAGTCAACACTCAGGGCCAATCCTAAGGCCAAGTAGCCCTATATGAACTCTTCTTGAGCTTCCCCCATAATGATCTTTCCTATCAAATATTATAGGTTAGGACCAATATGTGGAACTTCAAGTTGAGTAAAGATAAGAGTTTTGAGTTTCTAATGGTGAGGGTACCCATTCTAGTTTTCTAAGACTAGTCAATAGGAAAGTCCTATGGCTAGACTTAGGCTACTAAAGAAATTTCTAGACCTCAACCAAAAGTGAGGTCAACAATGCTTTACCCTCTTCCGAGTGCATAAATTACAATGAATAATCCAAAGTTTGGTCCCTAATTTTGTGGTTAGGCTGGTAGGATACCAACTTCCACTCCAAAGCTCCTACTACTCCCTCACCTGAGGGCTAACAATCTCGCATTATTTTTCAATCAACTGGACCAAATTGGAGATTTTAATCCATCACCTTAAAATCCTTAATTCTACATCTAACAAAGTATATTTCCCTATTTATTTGCACTCAACTCCATGAATGACATCCTCTCTCATGAAATCAAATGTGATTCTCCCTATGTTATAGAAATCATAGCCCTTTCGGAACATATTTTTCTCAACACATTTTAACAATTCAATTGGCCAGATCGAAAAGTAAATGAATATCAGAGTTCAAATCATCACAAATTATTGACATTTAAAACCATATAAAAAAAATTAATTTTTCACAAAACCATATTTCAAAGTAAGGAGAAGGACAAATAAGACTACTCATAATTCATGAGAAGGATGAGACAAAACACGAATTTCATATATAAAAACAAGTTTACAAAATAAAAGAAATAAAAGACACAACTTATATCACAATCCTTCCTAATCAAATCCCTAGAAGTTCTCTTTAAGTCTTTCTCCCTTTACAAGCATTCTCAATTCTCTCTTAGAAGTGTAATGACGAAGAAATCTCTCACATTCTTTCTCTTTTTACAATCATTGAAGAAAATCTCTAAGCCCTTTACTTTCTCTCTCTCTCTCTTTCTCCCCCCTTACACGCCACATGGAAAAATCTCTTCAAGCCCCAGACTTCCCTCTTTTTTATTGAAGGCTGCCTCCCTCTAAAAAGAATTCAAAATTCCCTCCTAAATTCTATCCAAAAGTCAACCATTTTAAATTCAAACGACATGTCCATTGATCCAAGAGACTTATCTTTTCATAAAAGAACAATCCAAAGTGTCTATATGCATTGAATCACTCCAAGGGGTGTTTAGAACAAGTTTCTTTTTCCAAATTCATGTAAAATTTGACCTGAACTGCCTTAATCCGCAAAAAGTCGTCTCTGGCGCATCTGACGCCAGTTCCAGCGCTTCAGACGCCAACTTGCTTAAGGCAGTGTTGTTCTGGGTTTTGGCGCTTTAGGCGCCAAATCTGGCGCATATGGCGCCAGCTCTCTGTCAAATGGCATTCTAGCGCATCAGGCGCCATAATAAAAAAATTCGTAATTTTGGCTTCAAATTATATCATTTTTGCTACTTTTACTCCAAATGCCTAAAATTGATATACCTGCAACAAAAAGTATGAAAATACCCTTTTTTAAGTGCAATATTACAAAAAATAAACATAAAATATATACTTAAAACAACATATTATTTTGGTGTATCATGTGCCCTAGGATTTTCTCCTTTTATTTTCTTGAGAAAGAATTTTCGAGGGAATTTTTGTGAGAATTTGTAGATTTGGATAGAGTGAGATTACTTGAGTGCTTGTTCGAGGAAGATCATGCGGAGTTCTTGCATTATACGAGGACGATCGAGGAGTAAGCAGAGCAAGGATTATCTTGTTTGATTTTTTGTATTTCTTAGCATGTTGTCTTTCCTTATTACAATGCAGTTTTTAATGTTCTCCTCTCATGCATTGTAGATAAATATTTCATGCCCCTGTGATTAAGGTTTGTCAATGAATTGAATGTTTCCTCCATGAGATTTCCCCAAACATTTTTGTATGCTTTTATATTATTCATGTTGATGTGTTAATTTCTTGATCACAATTTACTTTTAATCTAACCAACTGATCCAGGACTTTTAATCATTGACTAGAAGAAAAAGTTGGTTAACATAATCACTTATTAGACTAGAGATGTTGCAAGTAGGAGATTGCAATCTAAATAAGGAACTATATGATTTCTAAGAAACCTTGCATGGTTAAACCCTCTTAACTATAGTACGAGTTTCCAATGCTTCTTATGACCTAGAATAGGCCGAGGACTTGTCCCTAGTTGTTAATAACAACGTGGTGATCTCATAAGAAAACTTCAAGGATTCACATAATATGAGTGAGGAGTGATTTTCATCACCTCTGAATAACTTAAAAGCTTTTCACCTTATGTAAATAAAAAAACACTTCAAACTAGATTAAGAGATTTAGTAAATAAGAACTTCGCCAATTAGGAAAATTGACTAGTTTTCTTATGGGATCAACATAGGAACTCTAATTTTATAGATTACTTGAGTGACATGTATACTTATATAACTACGGCTTGTTTCGCAGTAACTTTGCGGATCAACATCCTAAGTATACTTGAGTGCAACCATCCATCACGTAAGTCTTCAAACCTACTTTAAAATTTTCCTTATATCTCGTGACCAAGCTTAGGTAGATAGCTATTTATTCTTATTCACCACACTACTACAAGGCCACAAACACAATAAAACTCTACCAAATACTTTATATCATAAAACAACCTTTCATTATAATTTACGCCACGTAAAATTATTTTTATAAAAAGCTCTTAAAAAATTAGCACAAATTTGTCGGCTCGCACTTCTTTCCACCAAATCATTCTAAAGATCTCACATTTTTATCATCTACTTTAAATCATAACCTAAAATAATAATGTAGCCATACACCATAAATTATAGCCATTTATTTAACTAAAAAATTATTTCCTAAAATGTTCTTTTAATCGGCCAAAACAAGCCCAAGTTGGACTAGCCTTTGCATGCCTTCTCTTTAAACACAATAATCCCTTCACATTTCTAATAAAAAATTTCATGTCACATATGAAGACACTAAAAGAAAAACTCACTTCCATTTTCAACCATTAATATTACCTTAAGGGCCTCCCACCACCATCATCTAGTGATCAATGAGGTTATCATATGACATGATTTTCACCTAAAACTTTTTAGAGCAAATTTTCAAGCTAAGCCTTACCTTGAGTCTTTCCATTTTAGATGGATAAATTATAATCCATTACTCATTGTAATTTAGTGTTTTATCTTTATTTAGTAATAATGATGAGGATTAGTGTAACATCATTTTTTGAGTAGTGCTTATTTATAATCTTAAAAAAAGAATATAGTTTCATACCATATATTCTATCCATTGTCTATGTAATTAGCTATGCGTTTAAAATTAAACATGATATCATAAAGTTTCTCTTGCGAGCACAAACATAATCTCACCCACCTGCACATAAGTTCACTTTTAATTTACATCCCAATCCTTCTTTCTCTACATCTAAGAAACTAATTTATTGTTTATGGATCTACTAATAATATGATGTATACTTCAAGATTCCATGAATCTCTTATTATTAGAAAATTTATTCATTTTTTCCCTTCATTAAGTTAATTTTTAAAATACATACTTTTAGCATAAATGATGTTGGTTTTTTTAATCTTAGAACATAACATTCTAACATGCCGTCCTTTCATATTTTTTATGTGAAGGAGTCTTCCCTTGATATTCCTAAGAAGCAAATACATTTTATAGTCTTTGAGTTATTTTCTAAGTTTATTTATCTGACACTCGAGAAGTTTCTCAATCTTCGGGCCCATTTGGGGAAGCTTATTTGATGCGGTGGCTTTTTGAAAACACATTAGGTTTGTTTGGGTATACTGCGTTTTGACACTATGCATTTTCAAAACACTTAAAACAACATTTTTACAATGCAATTATCGACAGCTTTTTGGCTGCAATCTGTTTTTTTCCCAAAAAAAAAAAAAAAAATAATAGCCAGCGCACCAAACTTATCAGCAAATTATTTTTAATCAGCTTATCAGGCGTACAATGTCCAAAAAAGACCTGTCAACGAGCTATTAATTAATTGAATCTTACTAGACATTCTTAATAAAAGAATTAAGTTTTAAGATATTTTAAGGGTCAAACCTTTGACAGTGTATATGAATTGAGATTAGAGCTAAAGTCTTTACAAATCGATTTAACTTATCATACATTGATACATAGACAACTGACATACACATTTTTTTTCTTCATAGACCCTATCTCTATTGCTAACTCCAGAGATATATTTATGTTGATATATGGAGCAATCCACTACATATGATTTATCAGTTAAATTGGATTCCAAATCAATATGTATAACATAAGTCTACATGAGCACAAGAAAAGGTACATGTAGTTACTATAGTTCCATATCATAATATTAGAATTTCTAGTCTGATGCAATGGGAATAGGCATAGGAAACAGCCATACATACCTGACAAAAATGTATATATCACCAATGATATAAGAATATGGAAACCGATTGCTCTTCATCAGGTCTCGAAAGATGTAAAAATTCAAGCTAAAAAGTGAATGATACGACGTGGTAGGGAATAAGTTAACAATCAATTTTCTGGTAAATATGGCAACCGACAATTACAACTTTTCCCCAACAGAATTTATTCGCTTTATTTGAGATAGAAAGATTCATCATACTTGTCTCTGGCAAGCGTAGAAAAGTTGCCAGCTGATAAAAGCCATCACCAGGGACGAAGTTAGCTCAAATCCCACCACCTTCAGAGGTTCCCAACCCAGCGCTTTTCTCAAATAGCTGCAAAATGCATGATATAATCATTATATATTCAATAACAGAATACACAGATTGACGAGTCTGTACGATTTCAAATGGCGAATGACAAGTAGCATTTTTAGCAAAGCAAACCAAGCAAATCACACAAATAATTCACTACACCTACTCACATGAAATTAAAACATCACGCACATTGCAAAACGTAGCTGCATTAACCAGGAAAGCTTTGTACTTGAGGCTATAAAATGGAGATTATTACTCAAACAACACTAGAACAACTACATAACCTAGAAACAAGTAGAGATATGCAAACCACCTTATCTGGTTGAGAGCTTAGCGTTTCAGCAAAAAGGTTTGGAGTTCAAGACTTTGCATATGAGGCGTGTATGTGTTTGAGATTAAATTCGCTTAAATTTCCATAAAAAATAAAAAATAAAAATGGAAACGAGCAGAGATATAAATTAAGCTTCGAAATTATTTTGGGAATGTTCATTCTTTGGTTTTAACTGCTGAAGACAATCTCAGAAATATTGAGAAAGATTATCAAGAGGATGGGATTGATCATACCAGTTTCTTGGAGCTCGACAAAGATTAGTAACGGCTATTAATGTGGAAGAAGCTTTTTTCAAGCAAAGGCTACGAGTAATTTTCTTGCGTCTGTTGTTCAAAGCGATGGTGATATAGATGGGGATGTTAATAATAGAATTCAAGTTGGTTGGTTGAAGTGGAGAAATGCTTTGGGCCTTTTGTGTGATAGAAAAGTACTGCTTAGACTGAAAGGAAAATTTTATAAGATAGTTTTGAGACTTGCAATGCTCTATGGCGCTGAATGTTGGCCTTTAAAAGAGAAGCACAATAATACGTAAGGTGTTACTGAGATGAGAATGATTAGGTGGATGATTGGCTTTACACTTAGAGACAAAATGTGAAATGAATAGATCCATGATAGGGTTAGTGTAGCTCTTGTGACAAACAAAATTAGAGAAAATCGTCTTAGATGGTTTGGTCACATTAAACGTCGACCATCTGATGATCTGATTAGGAGAGTAGATGTTTTAGATTTGACTTGTGTTAGAAAGACAGAGGTAGACCTAGGAAGACTTGGGCTTATTGTATAAAAAATGATCTTAATTTACAAGAACTAAATGAAAATATGACACTAAATAGGTCGCAATGGAGAAAAAGAATTCATGTGGCCGACGCCACGTATTGGGATTAAGGCTTTGTTGTTGTTGTTGTGATCGTAATACTGTTTTTTATCATGCTTTTATCAAACAACGAAATTTAACTAATTATATTAGTAAAATTAAGAATGCTAGAGGTATGGTTCTTAATACTAGTAATACTATTGAAGCTGATGATATTTCTTTTTTTACTAATCTTTTTAATAGTGATAATGTTGTTCTTGATCCTATTGATAGTTCTCTGTTTGATAATAATGAGTTTTCGGCTCATAATTTGGCCTTAGATATGGTTCCTACAGATGAAGAGATTAAAGAAGCTTTGGATGACATTGATGGTAATAAATCGGCTGGCCCTAATGGTTTCTCGGCAGAATTTTATAAATTTTGTTGAGAAGTTATTAAAGCTGATCTTATTTGTGCTGTGCAAAATTTTTTTAAAGGGAAGGATCTTCCCAAATACTTTAAAGCTTCTAATATTATTCTTATTCCTAAAGATAATAAGGGGATTACTTGGGATGCTTATCGGCCTATTAGCCTTACCACTGTGGTTTCTAAAATCGTTTCTAAAGTGGTGGTGAATAGGTTGCAAAATTTTCTTGATAAATTGATCTCTGACAATCAATCTGCCTTTATTAAAAATAGGTTTATTGGTAATAATGCTCTTATTGCCCAGGAACTTGTTCTTGATATTGATAAAAATGGTAGAGGCGGTAATGTAATTTTTAAATTAGATATTAGGAAAGCATATGATACTATTAGATGGGAGTTCATTATAGATGTTTTGAAGGCTAAGGGTTTTAAATTAGCCTCGTGCATAATTATTAAAATAATTTTTATTATGTTCTTATTAATGGTAATAAATGTGGGTTTTTCAAATCCACTAGAGGTATTAAACAGGAGGATCCCCTTTCTCCTTTTATTTTTATTCTAGCTTTTGATTATCTTTCCAGGTATCTTAACAACCTCTTTCATCAATTTCCTAATATGAGATATAAAGATAAAGGTGGTTCTGGTATTAATCATTTAGCTTATGTTGGTGATCTTATTATTCTTACTAATGCTAATAAAAGTACCATCAAGCGCCTTTGGCAAGATTTGGAGCACTTTCAAGAGGCTTCTGGGCTTATCTTCAATCCAAGTAAGAGTAACTTTTACTGTTCTAAAAAGATTACTGTTGCTAAAAAGAATTGGATTCAGGATTTCACTGGATATGCTAAGGGAGATTTTCCTATGGTATATCTGGGTTTCAATCTTGATAAAGGTCGTCGCAAAATGCATTTGTTTGAGAATATTATTGATAAGATTAGTAAGAGGATTCTTGCTTGGGATAATCTTCTGCTATCCTACGGGAGTAAGGTGATGTTACTTAAAAATGTCCTTCTATTCCTTTATTTACTTTATGTTTTATGAAGATGCCTCATTATGTTTGTATGAAACTAGAGAGTATTCTTACTAAATTTTTGTGGGTTGGATGAGATGGAAACAAATGTGCAACCCTATTAGTATGGGTGGACTTGATTTCCGTTCTCTTATGGATACTATGCATCTCAATTATATGAAATTATGACTGAATTTTAGTAATGATAAGTCTCTCTGGGCTAAAATGATGCATCTGAAATATTGTAAGGATGTGCATCCTTTGTGATGTGCATCCTTTGTCTTTGACTAGTAAAGCACAGGATTCTTTTGTCTGGAAAAATATGCTTCAGGTGGCTATAGGTGGCTAATTGTATTGAATCTTATATTTGTTCGGATCTTGGTGAAGGTAGGTGTAGTTTTTGGTATGATAACTGGAATGGTTTGGGGACTTTAGCTGAAAGCTACGGGGGCCCTTTTGATATTAACTTGCAGGTGCAGGAAATGTGGAATGACAGCAGTTGGAATACTAATATGCTTGCTAACCTGGTTAATAGAGAAAATTTTGCTAGTATTGCTAAAATTCCTATTAGTCAGGGTCCTGATAAGATAAAGCTTAAAGGTAATTTGAGTTGGTCTGCTACTAAGATTTTTTCTAAATCTCTTTATACCTCCCAAGGCAAGGATTTACGGTATACTTCGAATGACTTAATAAAACCTACTCAATCCTTTTTTTATGTGGGGTCTTCTATATAAAATTCTGCCTACTGATGATATTTTAAAGTTTAGAGGTTTAAGAATTCCTTCTATCTGTTATTTTTGTAAGAAGCATGTTGAGACTTTAGAACATATTTTCAGTAATTGTTCCTGTATTACTGATTTATGGGAGAGAGTTTTTACTCTTTTTGAGTATGATGGAAATCGTACTCCTGAAATTTCCATTGCTGGTATGATTGTGGTTTGGCAGCAGGATAGATCGAAGCTTTATAGGTCTGTTCCTATTATCGTTTTTTGGTTTATTTGGAGTGCTCGAAATACTTGTAAACATGAAGGCAAGATTTTCTCTAGCTCTAACTTTTTTTATTATATTAAAGGTTTTATCTATAAGATGTTGAAATATGGGAAGTTTAAGCCTTCCTGTAATTCAAATGTAAAGCGTATGTTACTTAGATTTAGTATTGATTTACCTAGAAATTCTAAAGCTGATAATATCTTAGTTCATTGGACTGTTCCTGTTGGTGGGTATATTAAGATCAATACAGATGGTAGCTGGACTCCTTTTGCAGGTATTGGTGGTATTTGTAGAGATTCTTCTGGTGAGACTAGTATGTGGTTTTCAGCTGCTATTTTAGCTTCAAGTGTTATTGAAGCTGAAGCAGAGGCTGTGACTATGGGATTGGAATTGGCTCTACAATGTGGTTGGAATTCTTTAGAAATTGAAATGGATTCTTTTGATTTATGAACTTTTTGTTGCGGGAATAGGGATAATCCTTGGAATCTTATGATTCATTTGAAAAGAATTTTTGCTCTGACAATTGGTATTCAGGTTCATTGGCTTTTCATTCATCGAGAAGGGAATAAGTGTGCGGATTGGGCTGCAAAGCAAGGGATGAAGACTCAAAAAGCTATTTTTACTAATACGTTCCCTGAAGTTCTTAATTGTTTTATCAAGGGTGATATGATGGATTCCCCGTATATTCGTACTTCTTCTTGATTGTGTTTTTTGGATAGGTTTGGGTGTGGTGTGAGTTGTATTTTTTATTTATTTTTTATTTTTTGGAATTGGAACCTTTTTTATTTTTTTGTGTGAGTTGAATAGGGTTTAGGTTGGGTTCCTTTTCCTATGTGTGCTTTTTTATTTTATTAATAAATTGGAGCCTTCTAGTGCTCTTTATTTAAAAAAAATAAATTAAGCTTCGAAATTGTGCACCTTACAATGTGGTTCGGCATCATCTACGTAGGTCATGACTGTTTTGATTCGACGGAGGGTGACTTAAATCTTCATCACTGATAAGGTAAAACATATGAATAAGGGCTGAACGCACCAAGAATTAGAGTTGATGTCAAAATTTGCAGGCCTTTAAACTCATCATTTATTGAGCTTTATTCTATTTTCCACTTGCCAATGACACATTATATAAACCCAAAATTCCTTTTAGCTGAATTGACTCTTTCGTTCCCCATCTCTGTGCTTTAGTTCCCACAGAAGCTTCCCTTTATTGATTTCATTAGAAACCTAATGTGTGTACTGATCCCGTTACTATTTATATGCAACAGTATAACAATGTCTTTGATGATATTTTTCACTTATGATTTTTTACTTTGCAACAGAACCAAAAACTTGATCATGGAGAAAATAAGAATTTAACTTTTTAATTTATATATATCGGGATACTGGGATACTACGCAAGTATGTATCGTTATCAGGTAATATAGGACTTTTTGATTAAAGCTTGAATATCAAACTCATAGGGAAGATAT